GGGGGGGGGGCAGAGAGGCACAGGAGAATGCTGCAAGAGCCCCACCTCTCCCAGGAACTACCCAATGACCACCCCCCCAGCCCCAGCACCCCTCATCTAGCACCAAAAACACCTCAGGGCAAAGCAGGGAAGTTGCTGTCTCGGTGTCTGGTCTGATTTGAGGGACACGGGAGAGCGTCCCTCTGCGGGGTGAGGCTGGGCATCGGGGCAGCGACGCGTAGCCGAGTCCAAGGGCGAGCCTGGGCAGGTTTGTGCAGGGAGTTGGGGGTGCTCAGAGGGAGGTAGAAGTCACACGGTAAAGAAGGGCAGGGAACTAGGGGTCCTATCTAGGCAGCAGGATCTTGATGGGGGGGTAACGAGCAACGAGATGTTAAGTTGAATGACAGGTCTGCAAAAGCAAGGCTGGATGCATCCCGCTGCTCTGGCACCCCCCTCCAAAACATCATATCCAGACAGTCAGGTCCTGCCCTCACTTCCCACTGCAGCAAGAATGGGGAGGGGGTCCAGGCTAGGGTTTAGGATCCACCTTGCACTCTGAGATTGTGTTGTAGGAGTGGCTTGGGAGGGGTCTGCTGGGGTCCCCATCCTGCTCGGGGTGGCCTACCACAGCCTGGGGACAGGGGTCTTCAACACGGAGACTGTCCCAGCTCACCCAGAGCCAAGTCCCAATGTGGGCTCAGGCACCTCATGGTGCTGCGGCCTCTCCAGGTGCCCCGTGTGCTGCTCTGGATCATGATCGAGATCGCCATCATCTGCTCTGACATGCAGGAGGTGATCGGGACAGCCATCGCCTTCAGCCTGCTTTCAGCTGGCCGGTAAGCCCCACTATGAGGAGACCCCCAACCTCCCTCATAGCTCTGCTCCGCCGAGGGGCACATGTGTGATGCCCCCTCGTGCCATCCTGCAGCATCCCCCTCTGGGGTGGGGTCCTCGTTACCATCGTGGACACCCTCTTCTTCCTCTTTCTCGACAAGTACGGTGAGTGCTGGGGTAGGAGGATGGAGAGGGATGCTCACCTGGGCAGCCCTGGTGTCGATGTGGCTCTGGTGACCCCCACTCTGTTCCACCCCATCTCTCAACCCCTCTAGGGCTCCGCAAACTGGAGGCTTTCTTCGCCCTCCTCATCACCATCATGGCCCTGACCTTTGGCTACGAGGTGAAGAGGGGAGCTGGGGACATGTGTTTCCCTGCAGGGTGCTGGCAGGGGACCCGTGTGGAGCATCCCCACTGGCACTGGGTTCCAGCAGAGGTGAGGGCACAGCTCACCGTGCCCCTTTCCACTGTTCCCCAGTATGTGGTGGTGAGGCCGGGACAGACAGAGGTGCTGAAGGGCATTTTCCTGCCCTACTGCCCAGGCTGTGGGCGAGAGGAGCTGCTCCAGGCCGTGGGTATCGTTGGTGCCATCATTATGCCCCATAACATCTTCCTCCACTCCTCCTTGGTCAAGGTGAGACCAAGGCACTGCCACGAGTGGGCCCTGCCACTCTGGGGTGTCTCAGGGAGACACTTGATGGGGACCAGCTGGTCCTGGCTGTCGGATAGGGGTGCTCACCTGACCCCGTGGCACCCACATCCCTGCCGTGCCCAGACCCGGGCGATTGACCGGTCCAAGAAGGAGGCAGTGCGGGAGGCCAATATGTATTTCCTGATTGAGTCCTGCCTGGCCCTCTTCGTCTCCTTTCTCATCAACCTCTTTGTCATGGCTGTCTTCGGTGAGGCTTTCTACCACCAGCGGAATAAGGACGTGGTGAGTGCTGCCTCGCATGGGGAGGTGATGGGCATGCCCTGCCGTGGGCGAGCTTCCCTTGGAGAGTGGGTGTCTGTGTCCCCTGAGACGTGGAGGGGGGATCTCCCCGCGTCTGTGGGGGCTGCTGGGTGGCCATCACACTCGTGCCCGCTGTGCCCTGCAGCACAACAAGTGTGCCAACAGCAGCGTCAGCCACTACTCCGACATCTTCCCCGTCAACAACGAAACGGTCTCTGTGGATATCTACCAGGGGGTGAGTGACCCCAGCCTGTGCCCAACAGGCATTTAGGGGACATAGCGCCCCCCCACACACTGACCCTGGGGTCAGGGGCTGCTGCGACCCTGCTGGAATGCTGGGAACTGATGGAGGTGCCCAGGATGGGAGATGTTTTGGGGTGCCCATGGGTGTGTCCCTGCACAGGGTGTCATCCTGGGCTGCTATTTCGGGGTGGTGGCACTGTACATCTGGGCTGTCGGGATCCTGGCGGCAGGACAGAGCTCCACAATGACCGGGACTTACGCAGGACAGTTTGTCATGGAGGTGAGGCACAGGGATGCTGGCCCTCGCTCCCACAGGGAGCAGCTGGGAGAGGGGGAATTATGGGTGGGCCCTGGGTGAGGGGTCCTATGGGCAGCACCCCCACCTCCAGGTGTATTTGGCAGAGTTAATTACCTCCCATTCCTGTAGGGAGCTGGGCATGGGGTATTGCCCACCTGGTGGGTGGCAGCTTACTGGCACCAGGGTCCCTGGTGCCCAGGAGGGAGGGTGGTGCCCACCCTCTGATATTGCTTGACCACCCCCACCCCTGTGACACCCCCCTCGCAGAGACACCCGGTGGGTGCCCCAAGCAGTGTTTCCCTAATGAGATAGATTGCTTAATGAGCTGGAGCTGACATCTAGCGGGGCTTAGCAGCCCTGCAAGGGGCTGCTCATGCCAGGGTATGGGGGGGCCTCCCTGACGTGGTGCCCCAGGCACGGCGAGGGGGTAGGTTTTGTCGTGTCCCCAGGGCTTCCTGCAGCTCCGCTGGTCCCGCTTCACCCGGGTGCTCTTTACCCGCTCCTTCGCCATCCTGCCCACCATCTTCGTGGCCGCCTTCAAGGATGTCAGCCACCTCACGGGCATGAACGACCTGCTCAACGTCCTGCAGAGCATCCTGGTGAGGGGAGGGCGCATCACCTGTCCCCAGCACCCCAGCCTGGTAGCCATGCCCCACCTCACCACCTTCTTCTTCCAGCTGCCCTTTGCCGTCCTGCCTGTCCTCACTTTCACCAGCCTGCGCCCGCTCATGCAGGACTTCACCAACG